CATACAATAGTCCAATTGTTAAATTTCAATCATCGGTTCCAGGCGACACATTTGATGTGTCACCTCAAACAAGGAAACAAGTCTGTGGGAAAAGTTTTAATCATCCTCTGATTTTTCTTTCAAAAAATTGACTAAAATTTTTTGTCAAGTCCAGGCTCTCACATAGGCTTGAAAATATTCTTAGAAAAGCTTTTCTATAAACCTCATACTCTATGTCCTTACTGTACATTGTTCATAAATCTGGAAACCATTAAATACAATGTTTCTTCTTACCCATTTTAATGAAGAAAATGGAAAGGTGGTCAAGGACCCAAAACCTTGCCTACAGCCACTGTTTGGTCAGGACCATGCCTCCAGCACCCCTTGCCACTCCACTATTTGTTTGTCCCCTATATTTACTCACTATCACCCAAGGAGTAGTAGTACCCACTTTGGGTGCTACTGTCCCCTGATCTAGAGTATGCCAATCACACAAGTTTAATATTGCACTCCAGCAAACCAAAAGTGATGCCATTATTTCTCTCTGGTTCCCAATATTTAATTGCAGACTAAAATACGGCACATTTTGAGTTAAAAGTTCATTGTAATCTACATATATTTTGCAAATAATTATAAATTTATTAAAAATGTCCCTAATTACTTTCATGTTTATAGTTGTTTGAAATGAAAATGATTTCTATTCTGATTATGATAACATATCAGCTTCATTACAGTGCAGTTATATTTTGCTTTTTAAAAAATTATGTATATTTAAAATAATTTAAAATTTTTACATTCCATAGTTCTTTTTATCCTAAGTATCCATCTGATGCTTAGCCAATCAATGCAATTAATTTAAATTATTCTTTGTTTTATAAATGTAGGGGCACAGATATGGATGAGTGGTTATGCAGATAATCTTTAAGAGGTATTACAAAAGGTGAGGATGTTTAAAAATCGTGATGTAATATATTATGATCTCAACCATTGGGTAACAGAATGATTCATTTTTGTTTAACAGTTTCATAGCAAACCATATTGCTTATGTAACTGCTTCGTATGTAATTAATAAAATAATGTAACATTCAGTACCCTGTGCCATGTATTATTCCTTAGTAGGGGTTTTCAATCTAGGATATGCATTATGAAATTTTGGAGGTGGGTATGTGCACATTATGTATTAGGCTGAAAATTATAATGTATAAGCAAACAAATGTCTTTCAGCAGCGAAAAGTGTTTAATGATGTTTTAGTTATTGTGTTTAATGAAAGTAGAAAAGTATAGTAAAACCTTGACTTAATGGACTAATTTTGGCAAGGAAGTATCCATTAAAACTGAAAGTCAATTACATAATAAAGTAGATTTTCCAAATGAGTATGTTAAAAAATTAATAAATTAGTTAATTTATCTGTTTTTACTTATGTAGATACATTTGTGTAATTAAAATTATGTATGTATGAAAAGTTAATTTCTCAAGAATTTTTTATATGTATTATTGCTTATGTACTCACTGTAGTTCTGAGACTGTAGTAAATAAGTATATGATCTAAATCATACAAACACACCTTTTGTACTTTTCTAGCACTAACTTTATACACAGAACGAATGTTTTTAGCCCAATTTACAGGCATGCTTTAGGTTAGAAGCCATTCTAAAGATGAAAGAATTGTATTGAGTTCTAAAGTGAAACCATTTGAATATTCTGACATTATTTAAAATTATTACATTGTGATTCAGTCAGTATTTATACATTTAAACAAAATTAAAAATTACATTAGATAATATAAATTACAATAAATCTTAACCACACAGAAGGGGATGGTTAATGAAATCTTATCATTTATTAGAAATAAGGTTAGAAATGGTTCCACTTTAAAACTCAACATAACTCTAATTTTTAGAAAGTGCTTCTAACCTAATGCAGGCCTGTAAATTGGACCAAAAACACTTTTATTTGACTTAATATAAAACTTATATCTTATATAATACAATTCATAATTCTTATTTAGACAAATACAGATATCCCTTGCTTAACGTAATTTTGCTTAACACAGGATTTGATTAATGCACAAACATAATTGTGGCAATCCTTTTATATGTGGCAGAAGTTTAAATTAATGTGACTTTAACAGCCGTCTTTACTTAACGTAGATATCATATTTGATTAATGTGATTTTGATATACATGGTAGCACTGAAGAATTAATTAACTATTAATCAAGGGATACCTATAGTATTGAGTAAATTATTTCAAATAAAATTTTATTTAAATAAAAAAAACACAAATATATATGATATAATATAGTAAAAATATTGTTTGAAATGATAAATCAAACTGAAATATCAAAGAAACCATTTTGAAAATATTTTAATATAGACAAACGATTTCAATTAATATATCAATTTTCAATGTAGGAAAAACTGGCAATTAGCTTTTTCAACAGATAAAATATAAATTGTTCAGTCTAATATTTTGTTGCAATATTCTAATCTGCAAACTCTCAAAATGACAACTTCAGAAAATATCTTAATTAACCACTAAAATTTGTAAAAAAAATACAAGATTAAATTATTTTGAAACACTATACATAATGATAGTTTATTTGAATTTTTTAGTTTTATTAAAAAATTAACATTTCTTATATATTTTTATATTAAATAAAGTACTAAAGGTATATATATATATATCATACATATTGACAGAAAATACATTGTTTTATTTTACATTAAACAAGTGTTTTATATCATACAAATACATAGCCAAGTTTTAATTTTTAAAATATTCAGTGATTTGCTTTTATTTAAGTGCATTGTTAGTTTTCACAGATGCAATGTTGCAAATCTTATGCAAAAACTAGCAGCTGTTTCTTCTTGCATTGTCAAGCTATTTAATGCATTGATATTTTTGCAGTATAATTTCAGCTTCACTGACTATGATTTTGCTTCCATTACCAACTTTTGTCTCTCTCACTTTCTATCTTTTCATATTAATCGAATGGCAATTGTTTAAATCAGCCAAAAACGTTTTTCTTGTAAAACCTTACTGATAATTAAAGGTTAGAATTTGCATTTGCCATTATAATATGAAATAAGAAGTTTTTCTAAAATATGCAATTAAAAATTTGATAAAACATGGAAGTAAACCATGTTTGTATTCAACGGCAATATGTACATTCAAAACAGAGGAGTCTCCATTGAAAGCTCCCCCCCTCTCTGAGATGGTACTCAGATCTTTGGAAACCAGGGCATTACCTAAATATGATGGAAACATTGTTCTATATGCAAGATACGTAGACAATATATTGATAGTATGGAGGTGGCAGTCCAATATCCAACAGTTCATCAATGATATCAATGGCAACCCATACAAACTGAAATAAAATTAGAGCAAGGAAGTTTCATACATGCACACTTACTTCCTAGATGTTTTGCTCACACTAAACGGAGGGGCTATAGCCATAGATATTTATAGAAAACCAACTCACAGCCTGCTTTTCATACCATGACCTGATAAGCTATAAACTAGCAGTATTATGGGTTCTCATCAGAAAAGCCCACATATACTGTACGAACATACAAGACAGAATATGAAAGCTGGAATATGTTAAAGCTATTTAACAACAATTTGGATTCAAATGTCAAACAATTGAGAATATGATCAAGAAGCAAAAGCTAGATAAGAAAGATTCAAGGAAGGAACACACAAGTTGAATACACAGTAGTTGAATATATAGCACCTCTATACTATATATATATATATATACAAAAAGATAGCAGCAGCTATGGGGAAGAAAATTACCTACAAAAGATACCCCACTATATAAAGAGCTCGTCGTATCTAATGTGCATTCCAGGAAATACCACTGAAGGACAGTAGGATTAGTGAGCCATACTACATTGGTCATTAACATCAAGGATTAAAGAACATAAGGACAGCATCTGGAAGGCTAAAATTTTGAAATGCAAATTGTTCCAAAGGACATCTTTCATTCTTATTTTTAAATTGCAGTTTATCCTGAAGAAGGGTATTTAGAACAACTGAAAACGTTTAAAAAATTGAAATTGGCACTGCATTTATAGGTATGTTATAGTTATGACAAATGCAGTTTTACTGAATAATAACTGACAACTATTTAATTACTATAGGAATTATAATAGAGAGGCTTGGTAGGAAAATGGCATATCCCACATTAGAAAGTTGACGAAAAAAAAATTTTTTTCAATATTTTAATATGCATCATTTATTAATGTGGGTGTATAACCCATGGAAATATGCAACAGAATTGTGAAAGTTTCTTAGAATGGGAATCAATGATGCATGAATCCAAATTTGTTATTAATGACTTATTTTTTGTATTTTTCCAGAGAGCCCGTCAATTGTTAGTAGAAACTACTGAAATTTTAATAATGTGTGTACAGATTACAACATATCAGAAAACAATTGATTTTATACATAACATGTATATATTACACATCAGGCTAGTACTGTCTTGCAAATAATATAGTTTAGCCTATATCAAGGTTTTAAAACTATTAAATAAAACCTACTTAAGAATAAATTAAAGAATCTAATACTTATTTAAGAAAATATTTCTGTAAAGAATTGAAATTAATATGCTAACTGTTTTATAACTTACATATTAAAAAGGCATTTTTCCTTATTATGTTGTATTAAGAACTATTTTAATTAACTTACTTAATTAATTAAATTTAATTTTCAATGTTTCCTAACATTAAACTGATGTTAGAGTTTTCATTACTGTTTTTAATTTTAATTAAAATTTTAAAATATCATATCATAACTAATGAAAAATTAAGTGAGCAATATTTACTGTAAACTTAAAATTATTTTAAAATTTTAATTAATTAGTAGATATAGCTAATAATTTATGATTAATAAAGTAATTTTTTGTTTGGTTAAATATATTCAGTGTAACATTTCATTAATTTCTTTAAAATCAGTATATTTAGTGTTTTTTAATGATGTTTCGTCAGTATTATTGACAAAAACAAAATACTTACTACTTGCTAAGGAAAGACTGCTAATATCAGAAGCCAATTCATTTATATGTTGAACAGAAATTGTTCCCTGAGTTCTGGACCCTCTTGGTTTTTGTCCAGGGATTTTTACAGTTGTGTGCATTAATGGAATTTCCTTTCCATGAATATCATCCATATAGTCCTAAAGTTAACATATAATTGTAAGATGTTTTAAATTTATAAATTAACTATGCATTCTAATTTAAAACTAATACTTTAAGCTTAACAATAACAAAAAATATATTGACTGAATATCAAAGATTCTATATTGAAGATACTTGAACAAAGTTATAGGGATATAGTATACTGAACAAAGTAAAGAAGATAAGCATAACAGAATAATAATATAGTGTATGATAAAATGATTCCTGTAAGTAAAAGCTATATATATATATATACACATATATACATGTATGCATGTATAGTATAATTTATTCATTATACTATAATTTATTATACTTTTAAACATGTAATCTGCAAAAATTACGTTAAAGTAGAAGTACACAATATTTTCAGGATTCAAAATTTTCCCAGAACATAAGTAATTTTCAAGAAAATTTTGTAACACTAGCACAAAAATAAAACATTTTATGAATGAATTAATAATTATTACTATGAAATTTGGAAAATTCAATTTTTTTTTTTAAATATACATATTTATTTAAACAGGTCTTCCATATGGCACAATATACTAAACTGATAAATTAACAAAAATTTTTTAACTTTAATTTAAGCATGTATTTAACTTTAAGCATTTAACTTTAATTTAAGCATGTATCAACATCATTGCATAGCATATACAATTACAGTGGTGCCTTGTATAATGTATTAATTCGTTCCAGGTGCATGTCCGTTAAGTGAAAAGTCTGTTATACAAAATGCATTTTCCCCATAGAAATACATGTTAAAACATCTAATTCGTTCCGCAGCATAAAATAATCATACTGTACCATAAAAAAATGAAAACGGAGCAGTCACCAATTATGTCGGGTAGTCAGATGTGAGGAGGAGGTGAAGGAACACTTTCTTTACACATTCATACAGATACAGACTTTTTATACATTGCAGCAGGTCTCTGTTTTTTAATCGGAGTCAGATTCAGGAGAGGCTACTGGAGCTTGCAGGGTCATCTCCTCTTGTTCCATCCTTTGTTTTTTGGCAGATTGCTTCTTGAAAAACATGTCCAAAGTCGCCTGTCGAAAATGACGGGCAAGGGTGTCATTGTAGAGATCATTGATCCTGTTGGCCTCAGCTCTGTTTGGATAATGAATGTTAGTAAACTCCTGAACCTCTCCCCATTTGACAAGGAAGTTTTTGTCAACTTTCACTCCTTCTGATGATTTCTTGCTTTGTTTCAATTGAAATCACCTTTCTGTTTTTTTAGAAGCCATGATTTGCACAACACTTGAATAAATGTAAATACCCCCCTGCATTGAGGTGATGTACTGTATGTAATAAACAAGAGAGCAAGCCGAATCCCAACGGGAGCTCTGTACTTCAGATATACTAATAATATATTCTAATAATACTAATATATTATAAAAATAGCGGATTGTCATTGGCTACAGCAAAAGAGTGGAAATATCATTCGCACTTGTTCATAGAAAGACCATTGTTCACCTTACATAACTGCCAAACAGAAAGTCCGTTGTTCGCGGCGTCCATTATTCGAGGTGTACGTTATACAAAGCACCACTGTATAAACTTGATGTAATACATTAATTACATTAATTAATGGAGTAAAAAAATTGAAACTGACAATGATCTATTTTTAGAACAGGGAATTAATTAACAGACTTTTTAACATATTAAGAACAACAATAAAAAGTCATAAAATATCACACCAGACCACACACTCTATGGTCAAAATAGCACAAAAATTATGGCCATTTAATTAATATAATTTTGTTTTCACTGTTGAAAAACTTTTTTTTTTTTGTTTTTAGATATGTTGCGGAATTACAACACATGGCCTGATTGATTTTTTCTGAACATGTTGTAATCTTTTATGCTCATCAGGTTCTAAATTCAACATTACTTCTACTACATAAATGCATAAATTCTAGGTTGCATAAATGGGCCAATACAAATCTAAGGAAAATAAAATAATCACTAAACACACTTATTGTATTTGTTCACTAACAGAAAAAAAACCAAATATTTGAGAAACAATCTGTACTGTGTTTTATATTTTCATAATTATACTGATTCACATTCATTGTGCAAGAAAAACAGAAAAAACAAGCTTTGTATATTTCTCCCATTTTATAGGGGAAAAAATATTAAATTTATGTTAGCATTCTATCATAAAAAAAATTTACTGGGCCAAGTGCAATTTCCATTCTCACAGACCATGCTCTATTTCCATTATTTTTATATGATTAGCATTTTGTTCCAAAGTAACAACTCAGATTTCAATGTATCCAATTAACCCTAGCCACGTGTTGCAGAAATGCAATACACAGACTGTGTTAATTGGTGGGTGTGTTGCATATTTGCAAAACATGGTGCTTAATATGTTAAAAAACTGTTTATATCCATACGAGTATAAATATAATGAGACCTCATTAATTTAGAATATATCAAAATAAAATTAAAAATTGTATTTACATGAAGACTTGGATGGTAAGTTAATCTTGCATCATTTGTTAAAGTAACATACTTTTTCTTCCATTCTTTGTTTAGTGTCTTACAACTTCTTTTATATAAATAACCCTAAAATAGAAATTTACAATTTTAAATATTTATAATTTATGTAAATTCAATAACAACATTTTTACTTACCTGTCTCAAAGGTATATACCTTCCACTCCCTACTTCACCATTTTTCAATTTTTTATCATCATCTTTCTTCAATGGCTGAAATATTTAAGTAAGTATATAAACTTATAATAATCTTGTATTAATCAACTTTTCAAAAATCCAATTAAGTTTTTGTTTTGCTTACTGTAAAAAGATTTGATCTCCTCCTGGATTTCCTGGAAGTTGTTGGAGTAGAACATGGAGTTGGAATATCTTTACTCTCTTTATTTACAGTATTAGAAATTTGTTGAGAGTCAACTATAAATGAACGTTCTATTTTATCTGATTTACTTTCTTTTAGCATATTTGTACCATTTACATCAGATTTCATTTCTCTTTCCCACTGATGAGCATCCTATAAATATATATTTCAAATTTACATTTTATACATATTAGATTGATCTATTTTTAATATTTACAGAATAACAGAATTGGTAATATTAATATAAAAATAATCATATTTTAATATTTCATTTATTGTAACAGTTATAGTAATAGATAAAATAAAAATTTTTAACATAGTTATTACTACAAAACTAAAATGTAATAATGAATCATTTCATGAATTTAATTTCTAAGTAAAATTACACTTAAATTAAAAACAAAAAATTAACTTTACAGTTTTCAATAATAGTTTCCAACAAGAAAGTTTGGAAACTATCAAAGCTTCCAATGTTGATATGTAATAATATTGTTTGTGAAAACTGATCTAGTGATTCTGAACATTATAACTTAATGTTAAAGTCACATTTTGAAAATTTTTGTAATTTCAACAAATAATTATTTTTGTGCAATGTGTAAAATCAAAAATACTCCACTTGAAAGAAAACTGACACAAACAATATATAAATTTAAACAGTCATTTTTTTCAAAATTTAAAATTTTTCTATTAGAAACTAAATTGATTATCTATCTTAATTTTTTCGAAGATAAAATTTTATTCTTACACTCAAAAACAATCAATCAAACACAACAAAGTCAAAAATAAATTGGAATTACAATGACAATACCAATTTTTCAACTGTAGCTAGTGAAATGATCAAAGTTTGTTTTCATCACTTCACTAATATTGTACTGTATTTCCACATACAAGACCATGCTCTCAGGTGTTGCAAAATTGTCACCATATTCTGCAAAGTACCTAAAAGTATTTTTGAAAAACTTTTATAGTATCAGCAGCATTTTTCTACTTTGGTTTTTCATTTTTAATAATGTTACCATAGATATCATTGAATACTTACTGTATCAGTACTTTCACATTTAATTTACATTGACACGACAGTGAAGTGCTTTAAACCAAAACAAGCTGGCATTGCTCCTATATACAAGTTATGCTCTTATAATCTAAGTAATACATGTACTTCAAAAATGCAAAAACAAGTAATTTCACATATAAGAGCATGCTGTCGTTTGCACAGAAATGAGATAAGCAATAATCAGCTTTAATGTAGCTTTTCAAAAAATTCTTATATCAATAAACATTACTCCCAATAAAAATACAAATGTTGGTGGCTGCTTCCAAAATTTGAAATGTTGAAGGGATTAACATTAACTTTTGCTATAAACTTCAGATATCTTATAGTAAAATTCTAAAACATGTTAAGAATGGTCTATATTGAAGACACTAAGTTGAATATACAAATGTATTAGTAGTATACAAAATTCAAAGAAAACAGAGATGTGAAAGATGACCCACATCCAGACAAACTAGCAACCATACACAATGCAGTAGAAGTGATTGCTAGGATTCAGGAGAAAACAGGACAAGACTATTGGCAAAAACAGATGATCTGACTCATACTGTGGGTATTTCACATAGGGTGACTGTAAACAAGATCATAATCTCAAGATTTACAGCATATGTATAGTGCACTGAACCTTCAACATCCAACAATACCTGGCCAATAATAGTATTGCTATGCTCCTATAGCCACCTACTACTCTAATCTGGCCTCCAGTAGATTTTTACCTTTTCTTAAGATTAAAAGGTGTTTCTGAAGGAATATCATTTTGAATTATCACAAGAAATTGATTCAGTGCATTTTAAGTTATCTTATGAATGTCCAAAGTGTTTAAGAACTGTTTCTCATCATAGTCTGTTGGTAAAAGTTTGTGATAGCAAAATATTCATATTTGAAACAAGTATAATTTATTACATTTACAATACAATCGTACAATAAAACCATTGTTCTTTTCCTATTTATTTTTGACTACTTTGTACACACATTTATTTACACACATTAAATAATTAAGCATTAGAAAATATTTTAGTAGATTCAATTCTAAACAAAAAAAAAAATCAATTACACTAGCATTTTGAGATTAGAATGTATAGCCTGAAGATGAGAGAAATCTTCAATGTTTAGTGTAATTGATGATTTTTTTTTTGTTTAGAAATGATTCAATTAAAGCATTTAGCAGTATTTTATGTTCTGAATATTAACTTATTGTATTTTATTTACTAAATAAACTTTTACTTAATAATTATATCATAAGAAGCACAGACTAATAAATGAATGTTATTTCAATGTTTATACAAACAAAATGAACACAAATTTAAAAAAAACAAATTCATAAAACATACCTTCATAAAATTTTGTCCATGATAAGCATGGCTATTAGAAACTGATCCAACCATTTGCGAAGAATTAGGAATTGTTGGTGTAGCAGCTGGATGATTAGTATAACCATTACTTTGAGCGATAATATGATTATTTGATAATGGAACTGAACCAGGTATGTAATAATTGCAGCGAACTGGATGATTAATTGGAGTGCCTGGTCTGGAACTATTTGGTGTTAATCCTTGAATTTTTTGTTGAACAATTTTATGGCATGCTTTAAAAAAAAAGCGTGTTACTTTTTATTGCTAGATACAATATTTATGTAATAAAACATTAAATTTGTATACAATTTAATATATTATTTCATAAACCAGTTACAATTTCTTTATATCCATAAGTTTTCATAAATTTTAATTTATAATTTTAAACTGAAATAGTAAACCATGTAAAGAGTCCTATGATGATAATTGAATTTCTTCCTTTTGATGATACATAAAACACACAACTTCAAATAGGTTTGGAAAAAAAATGACTATGAGAGAAATAGTTTAATGGATTATATAGAAACAACCATTGCATAGTATTCAAGTATTTTCAAGTTATCTCACTCATCTTTAGAAATGAAAAAAAATTAACAATATCAATACTGTTATTGAAACCTTATAAAATGATCTAATAAATTTGAATACTATCAAAATAAAATAAAAAATAAACAAACATAAAAAGCAAGGAGAGATTAACGGTATATTTATATAATGAAATTAAAATAAAACAAGGTGAGGTTATTTTAACAGGACTCCATAGCAGTTAGCCATTCCAAGATGAGACTCAGACAACTTAGTAACAACTTGTCTTATTTATAAAATTAAAATAAGACTGAAAAAGGAAAAACTGACAAAACATTAAATATAAAATTTATTAGTTTTTGATATGGATAGACAATACCTAAAGCTTTCAACAAATTCCAAAAATTATCAAAAGCTTTTAACAACAATTATATGTTAATATGGCACAGTGCCAATTAAGTTTAGAAAAAAAATTTTTATGAAAAAAAACTAGCTAACTTTAAACATGATATAGCAGAGTTCTGAAATTCCCTTAAAATATATTTAATTTTTGAACTTGACACAGCTTTAAACAATAAAAAAAAGTACAGCACTTTACTACTATTCTTTATTTAACACTATATTATTTTAAACTTTTATAGAATCCACAACATTTAAAATATAAACTGTATCTTAAAAAGTTATATCTTTGGGCATAAATTTACTATTATATTTTAAATTTAAAATTGGTATGGCATTGCTCCTATATACAAGTTATGCTCTTATAATCTAAGTAATACATGTACTTCAAAAATGCAAAAACAAGTAATTTCACATATAAGAGCATGCTGTTGTTTGCACAGAAATGAGATAAGCAATAATCAGCTTTAATGTAGCTTTTCAAAAAATTCTTATATCAATAAACATTACTCCCAATAAAAATACAAATGTTGGTGGCTGCTTCCAAAATTTGAAATGTTGAAGGGATTAACATTAAATTTTGCTATAAACTTCAGATATCTTATAGTAAAATTCTAAAACATGTTAAGAATGGTCTATATTGAAGACACTAAGTTGAATATACAAATGTATTAGTAGTATACAAAATTCAAAGAAAACAGAGATGTGAAAGATGACCCACATCCAGACAAACTAGCAACCATACACAATGCAGTAGAAGTGATTGCTAGGATTCAGGAGAAAACAGGACAAGACTATTGGCAAAAACAGATGATCTGACTCATACTGTGGGTATTTCACATAGGGTGACTGTAAACAAGATCATAATCTCAAGATTTACAGCATATGTATAGTGCACTGAACCTTCAACATCCAACAATACCTGGCCAATAATAGTATTGCTATGCTCCTATAGCCACCTACTACTCTAATCTGGCCTCCAGTAGATTTTTACCTTTTCTTAAGATTAAAAGGTGTTTCTGAAGGAATATCATTTTGAATTATCACAAGAAATTGATTCAGTGCATTTTAAGTTATCTTATGAATGTCCAAAGTGTTTAAGAACTGTTTCTCATCATAGTCTGTTGGTAAAAGTTTGTGATAGCAAAATATTCATATTTGAAACAAGTATAATTTATTACATTTACTCGTACAATAAAACCATTGTTCTTTTCCTATTTATTTTTGACTACTTTGTACACACATTTATTTACACACATTAAATAATTAAGCATTAGAAAATATTTTAGTAGATTCAATTCTAAACAAAAAAAAAATCAATTACACTAGCATTTTGAGATTAGAATGTATAGCCTGAAGATGAGAGAAATCTTCAATGTTTAGTGTAATTGATGATTTTTTTTTGTTTAGAAATGATTCAATTAAAGCATTTAGCAGTATTTTATGTTCTGAATATTAACTTATTGTATTTTATTTACTAAATAAACTTTTACTTAATAATTATATCATAAGAAGCACAGACTAATAAATGAATGTTATTTCAATGTTTATACAAACAAAATGAACACAAATTTAAAAAAAACAAATTCATAAAACATACCTTCATAAAATTTTGTCCATGATAAGCATGGCTATAAGAAACTGATCCAACCATTTGCGAAGAATTAGGAATTGTTGGTGTAGCAGCTGGATGATTAGTATAACCATTACTTTGAGCGATAATATGATTATTTGATAATGGAACTGAACCAGGTATGTAATAATTGCAGCGAACTGGATGATTAATTGGAGTGCCTGGTCTGGAACTATTTGGTGTTAATCCTTGAATTTTTTGTTGAACAATTTTATGGCATGCTTTAAAAAAAAAGCGTGTTACTTTTTATTGCTAAATACAATATTTATGTAATAAAACATTAAATTTGTATACAATTTAATATATTATTTCATAAACCAGTTACAATTTCTTTATATCCATAAGTTTTCATAAATTTTAATTTATAATTTTAAACTGAAATAGTAAACCATGTAAAGAGTCCTATGATGATAATTGAATTTCTTCCTTTTGATGATACATAAAACACACAACTTCAAATAGGTTTGGAAAAAAAATGACTATGAGAGAAATAGTTTAATGGATTATATAGAAACAACCATTGCATAGTATTCAAGTATTTTCAAGTTATCTCACTCATCTTTAGAAATGAAAAAAAATTAACAATATCAATACTGTTATTGAAACCTTATAAAATGATCTAATAAATTTGAATACTATCAAAATAAAATAAAAAATAAACAAACATAAAAAGCAAGGAGAGATTAACGGTATATTTATATAATGAAATTAAAATAAAACAAGGTGAGGTTATTTTAACAGGACTCCATAGCAGTTAGCCATTCCAAGATGAGACTCAGACAACTTAGTAACAACTTGTCTTATTTATAAAATTAAAATAAGACTGAAAAAGGAAAAACTGACAAAACATTAAATATAAAATTTATTAGTTTTTGATATGGATAGACAATACCTAAAGCTTTCAACAAATTCCAAAAATTATCAAAAGCTTTTAACAACAATTATATGTTAATATGGCNTCGCACATCGTTTGTACTTCGGGCTATCGTTTAACAATGAATGTATTACCACCAACGTATATATTATTTATTTTTGTATATTAACACCAGTTATTTTTATGTATTTTTAGTATATTTATTTGTATTTTTATTTATAATTATTTTATTTATACGTTGTAATACGGAACGATTTTGATATTCAAAAATCGTTTAAATGTTAAAAAATTAGAACACAGCTTTGTTCGAAAATTGTTAGAAAAAACTGTTTTTCTGTTCGTTGTAATATTTTCCTGACGAGGGCCTCTGAAAGACGGCCGAAAACGTTAGAACATTAAAATTTTTTATCGTTCATGTGCTGGAATTATCACTTAGGTGTGAAGTAGTTGTTTTGATAATAAACTAAGTTACTGGTAGTTAAAAATTATTAAATTACAATATGTTTACATTATTATATTAATTGTAAACTTTTAAATGAATATATCAAAATAGTTGTCTATATTAAATTATATGTAGATATAATGGCTTCATGATCTTTATGTAACTTTTGGATAAATTTGAATACTAAGTATAGTATTCACTATACATAACATATACACAGTACATGTATATGATTGTAATTATTTTTCTTTATATTAATTGCATCTAAAATTTCTACTTATAATAAATAAGCAGATTTACAGCTGTTTAGAATAATTTTGGTCAAATTTTTATGAAGTACAAGTAAATGATTTTTTCACTTGACTATATTACTAAATTTTACTACTACAGTAGTATAGTTTTCTTAAATGTTTCAGTGCAATAACATTAGTATTTTTAACAATTTATCTTGTATGTTGCATAAACAATACAACATTTACCTGTAATTCTGGTGTGCCACCTTCATCTCTAATTAATAGTAAATAACTTTGACCTTCAATAACCACTTCTTTTTTAAATCTTCCACCTAAAATAAAAATATTTCATATATGAACAGCCTAAGAACCCAATATACTAATAATCATCCAACCATCAGTCAAATTAATTGGGCAGAAATTATGCTTCAAGTATTAATTAGAAATTACATGATTAGAACAACTAGAGGTAGACATGTTCTAATCATGTAATTTTTAATTAATACTTGTAGCATAATTTCTGTCTGATTAATTTGGCTAACAGTTGGATGATTGAAAATATTTCATGTTATATCTGTTATATTTAGCTTAAAAATTTAATTCCTAAATACTACATAATCTGTAATCTACAATTATGTATAAAAAAATGTAAAAATGTGTTTTTAACAACCTGGTTGTGTGTATAAGATAAGAGTACTTATAACTGATGTCATCTTGTATTTCCTTCATATAGAAATACTGACATGCTAACTTATTCATATAATACACTATACCAGGGGTGGCCAACCTGCGGCTCGCAAGCCACATGCGGCTCTTTGAAGGATTATTTGTGGCTCTCGATAAATGTACCCGAGTTCCCTTTTCATTTTTGTGTTATTATATTTTAAAAAATTATTATCGTTCCGTATGTTTTTCAAAATGTCTTTTAAATTACTAACAACAAATATGAAAGACTAAGTGCAACGTTGTAACAAATTTCATTTCCGTCCAAGTTAAGAATGATATGACTCATCGAAAACGGCGCGAACAAACATAAACAGTGGCGTAATCGTCCGACTCCAGACCAACTTTGAATTTGTAAACTGTCATTGCAACGGACAGTTGACATTGTGCTCTGGAGGAAACANATTCTTTGATTTTAATATTTAATAATAATAAAAATAATCACCAAACTTTTATACCTAAAAGTTATAAAAGTTACGTAAGTTACGTAAGATTTTTTACTCCATATTGTACATAATTATTTTTAAGTGTAATAATTTTACTACAAATATTAAAATATCTATTACAATACATTCATATAATTGACACATTTTCATCATCAAAAAATAACAGCTAAACATTTAAGACAAAAATGTGATTCATAAATAAATTATACAGTGAAACTGTCATTAATGAACACTCCCGAACAGCAGACATCTCTATTTAATAAACATTTTTACAATTCCCAGACCCATCAAATACAACGTCTGTTATATTCACCTTTAAATAATCAATGTAATGAATTTTAATTGTCAAGTGCTTCATAATCAATATGATTTTAAAATTTATTTCTTTATTCTAAGTTTAGAAAATGTTGCATGAAAGATTACAAGAAAAACACACCTTTAAAAATCCAGCAAATAAATTTACTAATAAAAACATTTTCAATTGGTTTAACTGATCTTCCTCAGTTAAAATTTAAAATCAGTATATAGTAAAAATTAAGAGATCAATAAATTAATCATTTCCATCTCTTGCAAATATGGCAAAATTTGGACAAAGGTGTACAGGAAACCATGTTTTCAACCCATTTTAATTCCACATAACTCTGTAGATCCTTTCCACATCAGATTAGCAACCTTTAGATCCTTGATAAGAATGGCACGCACACATTGTACCAGCATAAGTGACACCGTAACAGAGCTGAATTAGATCTTAAAGATCACAGAACAGGGTTATCCAATAGAAATGATTCAGAAGTTCATCACAACCTTTCAAACAGCAAAACATTGGAATGCATTGAGGGTCCAAAAACAGAGTGGTTTTAAATTATATCCATTTTTTAAGGGAAAGCGGCCAGAACTAATAATCTCAAGGTTGTATATCCATGCAACCCAACAATATTCAGAATTTTAAGAAATGATAAACCGTAGAGCCATAATTCAGCCATAATTTACTCAATCCTGTTAATTGACCAATGTTTCAAATCAAAACTGGTCTATGTGGGTGCCACTATGCACAACTTACAGCAACAACTCAAAGAACATAAATATACAATTGATAAAAATCTCTATAACATGATGCTGGCATCTTATGCACAACATCAGGACATTCAGGTGCAATGGGAGCAGGCATTGATCATCAAATCAACATCAAATATAAATACTATGAGATATCTGGAAAGATTGAAGATTTTTAAAGTGCACAAAAAACCGGTTGCATCAACCATAGAGAAGACAAGAGCTTGGATACCACATGATGGTCTTTTTACGAAAGTTAATTTTATTAAGGGACGTTTATTCGTCTATTTTTACTTTTTATTGTTTATTTTATTTCTGTAGTTATTTATTTATTATTCACAACTATGATTTCAGTTATTTATTTATTTTAGAATTCTGGTTATTGTTTATTTTTGAATTCACATCCTATTTCACTGTAACTGAGGAAGATTGATTAAACTGATCAAAAACATTTTTATTAGTAAATTTATTTGCTGGATTTTAAAGGTGTGTTTTTCTTCTTATCTAATTATCCAGTTGATAGAAAAATATATCAGCATGAAAGATTATTTTATGCTCTTTTAATCCAAAAGTTATTTAATATTGTTTTAAATTTATAAAAATTAAAACTAAAACAATTGAATTAAAAACAAGGGGAAGAAAACCACTGAAAAGTTCAGTGATTTCAAAATTTCTCTCTCCTAATTCAATAAAAATCACATAGCAAATTTGATCTTTATTTGAAAGCTCTCCTGTGCCCAGACATGCAAAAACTTGTCTATGAACTATCCTCTGGTGGTAGTATAATTATAAAATTGTAATTAATAAAATTAAAACAGGATAATAAATCGCCATCTTCTATTTATGATTTATAGTATTCGTCTCAAGTGAATAATACAAATTTAAATAATAAGTTTTGAACATGTAATTAGTCTCAAGGTGTGAGAATGATGAAATTGTAGATATTAAAATTTTTTCCCCTACATTTTAATTCAAATATTTTAAATTATATGCAAATGCTACTTTAATTAATATGAAATGGGTATCTATATGACAAGTCATTTAAAAAATGAAACAAAAATAGAAATGGATATCAACATCTTAAGTCTAAATTTCATTAGCAAACAGTAAAAAGTACTTTTTACTGTTAAAAGTAAAAACACTTGGTCAAGTAGGGATAATAATTTGCACATATAAAATTATTTTAGTTGTCAAAATTTGTTATATACTGATGAAGAGAAAGTTTATTGCCTACTAGCAATTCCAATTATCAAGACATGCCTTTATAGTCAATAAGACAAATTATCTTGGATAAATAATGTCAAAAACAGAATTGTTTTTGACATTATTTATCCAAGTTTTTATTATTCCATGACATTTATTGAACCTGTTTTTTTTAAACAGATTATTGAAATTTATATCATCATTACATTAAATTATTGTATGAATTACATAATTATTTCATTATTAAATGATAACATAATAATGTTAAAATAAATATCTTAAAATCTCTTTTTTTCAACTTATCTTAGTATATCTAATGTTTAAAAACCTTTTCCCATAATATTTTAATACAAATATGAAAGCTATTTCCTAGAACTAACTAACTAGTTTTATATACCTGAAGTTTACAAATTATGTGAAATGGTCATTAAAAAATTCTTCAAATGCATTATTTATTTTTAAAATCTAGTTCTAAACATTGTTGACATGCTTGAAAATGTAATAATAATAATAATGATATTTGCAACATAATAATAATAATAAAAAAGGAATAATTACCATCTTGAAAAACTCTTTCTACATTTAATCCATACGTAGCACATGTTTCATAATAGGAACACCTTTTAAGATCACTAGCTAATTTTCTTGCTCTGCTATCATCAATAACACGAGGATTACTTTCACTTATTGCATCTAAAAATAAAAATTTTTCAACTGAAATTTATAGGAAAAATAATGTATTTTAAAAATGCATCACTGTTTTGTTATTTTAAAAATTCAACATAGCAAAAAAATTAAGGAATTATTTTCCAGAGATAAAATAAATTTATATAGTTTTTGGATATATCTATCTCTTGTCATCAAAACAATGCACAGAAATCTATTGAACATGGCAAGAAATTCTATGAAAACATTATGAAATTAAAAAGTAATTAATATTTCCATAAAAACATAACCAAAAACTGAACTAACATGAATAGAATTAGTAAAAGGATGGATTTGTGGTACATTTTCAAAGTAAAAAATTAAATGATGATTAATATTTATTTTTTAAAAATAAACCTACATATGTGTCATAGAAATGAAGTTATTCAAATTTAGATACTAATTATCTACAAGTTTTAGTGTCATGAGATTATAGAATTAAAAATTGATTTAATTTTAATTGAACATTCATTTTTTTTAAATCATTCAAGAAATTTTATAAGTTTTTAGTATCTATGATAAAAAGAAAGGGTGGAAATTCTATCATTATGCATTATGTTATCACAAAAAGACAAAAAACTAACATTTTTATTATTGTAATTATTAATTTGTAATAAATATACAATGTATGAATTAAAATCCAAAATTCACACCTACAAAACTGAATCTAAATACAGGATTACTTTAAAATAAATATTTAACCTTAATAGACAAAAATAAACTGCATTTAGATTTATGCTTGGAATTGAACAGCTTTTAGTTAATCAGATATTGGAAAATTATATTATAAAGTAATTATTTTTTAAAAAACAAAATTTTTAAACTACTTCAATTCTCATTCAAGTAATATCTAAATTAAATCAGAATTTCTAAATAAGAATCTCTCCATTCCTAGAATAAAGTTCAGAATATGTAACATATGCATCTACAGTTATATAAACTCATTTCCTTAATTTAAAATATTTAAATCATAAAAAAATGAAATTTTAATTAATATCTTCACAATATTCAAATATTTTGTAAAATAAAATTATATTTGAAAGTTTATATTATGAATGAAGTAAACTATGAATTTAAAAATAAATTAAAATTGATTTTAAAAAGTCATGAGTAATAGAATCAATTCATTTATCAAAGTTAATATTTGATGAAACAGCAGATTTATAATTAGAATTAAGTAAGACTGAAGGGATGAATTTTTCCATTTCAAGTTTAACTTCTTAAGAGCAACATTGGCAGTATGTAGTCTTGCAGTGCCCAGCAATATCATGCCTTTTGACATGTACTGTACCACACTTAGTTTTGATTATTGTATGGAGTTGATGCAGGATTATGTCCTGCAGTCTGGATCTGTCACTATGCAGGTTTCACATGTTTAGCGATTGAAAAAACACCTGAAGGACCACGGGTTTACCTCAGATGTAAAGATGCAAGATGTGGTCATAGACCTCTTGAAACATCTATAACCAAAAGGACTTCTATAAGCATAGTATCACCAAACTTATTATCCAATAGGGCAAATGTCTCAATTACAAATTGCACTAATGGTAAACAGTTTATGGGCAATCAGATTAACAAAAACGTATTGGTTAATATATGATGGCAATATATGCTCTTTACTGGTAAATTTGGTAAGAAAGATATATTTGGTTTTAAAACTGTGTATTATAAAACCAAAAACCATCTCTAGAATTAGTCTGTTTGTATTAATTACCAGACTGCATTTGCTATTTTCTGATTTGAAGCATGTGATGAAATTTTTTTAATGATATATTCTTGTGCTGTAATACAAGTGAAGAATTTGATTGCATCGTAATGCCAACATGTAGTAGTATTGATTTTTCACAACAGAATTTAATTGCAAAATTAAACTGTTTCAATTAAAATCATCTCTAGATAAACAGAAATAAAAATAATTAATACACTGAAATATATCTCAAATAATAAATAAAGCATTTTATAATCATACCTTGTGTACCAACTAATACTAGTGGAACTTCAGCAGCATTTCGATAATGTGACATCTTAGTATAATAATTACAAATGGCATTGAATGATGGTTCATTTTCTAAGCTAAATACAAAAATGACAGCATCTACCCAGCAACTAAACTGTAAAAAGTTAAAAAATTATTATTATTGTAAATATAATTAAATGCTTGCTTTATTATATTTTCTAGCACTATCTTATAATATAATCAAGATAATAATAAGCACAGAGACCAAACGGTTAGGAGTTGAAAGTTGGTGCAAAGTTGGGGTACATCATGAGAATGGACACTAATAAAAAGGGATTTTTGGAAATTTCCCCCATGGGAGAGAGGAAGAGGATTAAGGATTACCCTGAAGAACTTGGCTTCTACTGTACTATTTTAGATGTGGTTTTTTTACAATTTTGAGAGAAATTGAACACATTTTTAGGCCCATCTAAAAATTCTCTAATTAACCTCGGAAGAGGCGAGACCTAATTCTTTCACTCAGCAAAATCAGGTAAGATCGGCTATATAACTATAAAGGTTATCTTACATAAGGGTTTATCACACCAAGTTACCAATCTAACACATTTTAAAAATTCTTTATTCCTCTACTGTACAATTTAAAGAATTTTTAAAATGTGTTAGATTCAGTGTTATAAACTCTTACATAAGATTTATATCTACTTTGTAAATATAAATCAAATAATATAATATAGTAGAAAGGTTAAAAGTACAAAATAATCTAATAATCTTTGTTGTTGTTATATTTTGCCCAATCAACACCAGGCTCACCTACTAGTAATAAAATATTTTTTTAAAATTAAAACAAAAATTCATAAAATTATTTTTATATAAGTATATAAATAAATAAATGCTGAGCAAGAGCTAAAAAATATACAAAAGGATTAACTGATAGATAACCAAAGTATTTATCTTTTAATAATGTATACATAAATAATAAATTCCTATTCAAATTTCTTGAAGTAACAAAAACCTGTTTTACAGAGTTACTTAATGTGAGCAACTTTACAAGCCACACATTGAAAATCTGGGAGAGTTATTGAGAGAAGGTTGAGAATGTGTTTGATCATCAAGGGAAATCAGTGTGGGTTCATGTCAGAAAGATCAACAGTAAAGGCAATTTTTCCATCAGTTGGCACAGGAGGAAAATGACAAGAAAAGAAAACTGATTTAGGTATGGTTTTCACTGACCTAGAGAAAGCCTACAATAGAATTCCAAGAGAAGTGATTTGATGGGCATTAAGGAGTAAAGAGGTGAAGGAGAGATATATTAAGATCATTGACAATATGTACAAAGGATCCACAACAAGAATAAGGAGCTCATGTAGGGATGACCAATGAGTTTCCCTGTAGACATTGGTCTGCACCAAGGCTCGGCTCTTAGCTTTATTTATTTGTCTTGATTATGGATGTGTTGACAGGAGACTTACAAGATGAAATACCTTGGTATCTGCTGTTTGCAGTTGATAGTGCACTTATTGATGTAGACAAGGACAAATTACACTGTAAGCTGGAAAAGTGGAGGGAAAAACTGGAAGGAAAAGGCTTACAGATTAGTAGAAAGAAAACTGAGTATATGAAATGTGCTTATAGGGAAGGTGCTTCTGAGAATGAATTTGATGTGAAAATTGAAGGAGTAAGAGTGAAAGATTCAGATATTTGGAGTCAATACTCCAGCAAGATAGAGATTGATGAAGATATAAGAGAGCGGCAGCTGGTTGAACTAATTTTTGTGATGGAAGAATGCCTCCAAGATTATAAGGAAAATTTTATAAAATGGTTGTTAGGTCTGCAATGTTGTATGGTTTAGAGTGCAGGACTGTGAAGAAAGTGCAGGTACAGAGAATTCATGTTACAGAAATGTGTATGTTGAGATGGATGAATGGTATCATAAGGAAATATAAGGTGAGGAATAGTTACATAAGGAAAAGCGTGCATATCATGTTGATAGAAGATATATTCAGGAAAATATTGACTGACTTGGTTTGTGCATGTAGAATACCAACCAGAAACAGTCCCAGTACAAAAAGTTCCAAGAATGTCAGTGATAAGGCAAGGAGGAGAGGAAGACCTGGAATGAGACCATTAAAATGTGATATGGAAGTGTGTGGCATTTCTGTGGAAGTTGCTTTGGACAAGAATGGAAGAGAATGATGATGTGCAGACCCAATATAGTTGGAAAAAAGTCAAGAAGACTCAATGTGAGCAAACTCCAATGAAAAGTAGACTTTTGTTATTTAATATAAGAATGATCATAGCATAATAAACTAATCAGACATAAAAAACTGACACAGAAACTGGAACTAAATATCGAAACAACTACTTCACACCTAAGTGATAATTCCAGCACATGAACGATAAAAAATTTTAATGTTCTAACATTTTCGGCCGTCTTTCAGAGGCCCTCGTCAGGAAAATATTACAACGAACAGAAAAACAGTTTTTTCTAACAATTTTCGAACAAAGCTGTGTTCTAATTTTTTAACATTTAAACGATTTTTGAATATCAAAATCGTTCCGTATTACAACGTATAAATAAAATAATTATAAATAAAAATACAAATAAATATACTAAAAATACATAAAAATAACTGGTGTTAATATACAAAAATAAATAATATATACGTTGGTGGTAATACATTCATTGTTAAACGATAGCCCGAAGTACAAACGATGTGCGATATGGAAAAATTATTTCCTTAAAAAACTCAAATTTATGTTTTGTGGCTTTGTAAATAATATTTCCACGACTGTGGAACAGGGATATTGTCGGTGTTGATGCAATTTCCCTTCATTTCCGCTTTATAAATTTCAATAGCCTCCAACGAACGTAATTCGTGTCGGTCAAATGCCCTGTGTAAAAGCGTAGCTTCCTTCCAACAAGGAGAAACCCCGGGTTCGGTAGCATACTGGGCTAGTGCAGTATTATATCTCCCCTTGGATACATCATACATGTGGTCTCTTACCCTAGCCTCTAGAGACCGATACGTGGACCCGATGTACGTTATACATCTATTGAAGCGACTGTCTTGCAATGGAATGCGGTACACTCCTGGCGCTTTCCTGTCCTCGGATATAATACCGCACTAGCCCAGTATGCTACCGAACCTGGGGTTTCTCCTTGTTGGAATGAAGCTACGCTTTTACACAGGGCATTTGACCGACACGAATTACGTTCGTTGGAGGCTATTGAAATTTATAAAGCGGAAATGAAGGGAAATTGCATCAACACCGACAATATCCCTGTTCCACAGTCGTGGAAATATTATTTACAAAGCCACAAAACATAAATTTGAGTTTTTTAAGGAAATAATTTTTCCATATCGCACATCGTTTGTACTTCGGGCTATCGTTTAACAATGAATGTATTACCACCAACGTATATATTATTTATTTTTGTATATTAACACCAGTTATTTTTATGTATTTTTAGTATATTTATTTGTATTTTTATTTATAATTATTTTATTTATACGTTGTAATACGGAACGATTTTGATATTCAAAAATCGTTTAAATGTTAAAAAATTAGAACACAGCTTTGTTCGAAAATTGTTAGAAAAAACTGTTTTTCTGTTCGTTGTAATATTTTCCTGACGAGGGCCTCTGAAAGACGGCCGAAAACGTTAGAACATTAAAATTTTTTATCGTTCATGTGCTGGAATTATCACTTAGGTGTGAAGTAGTTGTTTTGATAATAAACTAAGTTACTGGTAGTTAAAAATTATTAAATTACAATATGTTTACATTATTATATTAATTGTAAACTTTTAAATGAATATATCAAAATAGTTGTCTATATTAAATTATATGTAGATATAATGGCTTCATGATCTTTATGTAACTTTTGGATAAATTTGAATACTAAGTATAGTATTCACTATACATAACATATACACAGTACATGTATATGATTGTAATTATTTTTCTTTATATTAATTGCATCTAAAATTTCTACTTATAATAAATAAGCAGATTTACAGCTGTTTAGAATAATTTTGGTCAAATTTTTATGAAGTACAAGTAAATGATTTTTTCACTTGACTATATTACTAAATTTTACTACTACAGTAGTATAGTTTTCTTAAATGTTTCAGTGCAATAACATTAGTATTTTTAACAATTTATCTTGTATGTTGCATAAACAATACAACATTTACCTGTAATTCTGGTGTGCCACCTTCATCTCTAATTAATAGTAAATAACTTTGACCTTCAATAACCACTTCTTTTTTAAATCTTCCACCTAAAATAAAAATATTTCATATATGAACAGCCTAAGAACCCAATATACTAATAATCATCCAACCATCAGTCAAATTAATTGGGCAGAAATTATGCTTCAAGTATTAATTAGAAATTACATGATTAGAACAACTAGAGGTAGACATGTTCTAATCATGTAATTTTTAATTAATACTTGTAGTATAATTTCTGTCTGATTAATTTGGCTAACAGTTGGATGATTGAAAATATTTCATGTTATATCTGTTATATTTAGCTTAAAAATTTAATTCCTAAATACTACATAATCTGTAATCTACAATTATGTATAAAAAAATGTAAAAATGTGTTTTTAACAACCTGGTTGTGTGTATAAGATAAGAGTACTTATAACTGATGTCATCTTGTATTTCCTTCATATAGAAATACTGACATGCTAACTTATTCATATAATACACTATACCAGGGGTGGCCAACCTGCGGCTCGCAAGCCACATGCGGCTCTTTGAAGGATTATTTGTGGCTCTCGATAAATGTACCCGAGTTCCCTTTTCATTTTTGTGTTATTATATTTTAAAAAATTATTATCGTTCCGTATGTTTTTCAAAATGTCTTTTAAATTACTAACAACAAATATGAAAGACTAAGTGCAACGTTGTAACAAATTTCATTTCCGTCCAAGTTAAGAATGATATGACTCATCGAAAACTGCGCGAACGAACATAAACAGTGGCGTAATCGTCCGTTATCGACCGACTCCAGACCGATTTTGAATTTGTAAACTGTCATTGCAACGGACAGTTGACATTGTGCTCTGGAGGAAACAATTTGTATCACTCTTGCTACGGATATAATTTGTAATCTGGAATTTTTGCATACCTTTTTAATACGTATTTAATTGCGGCTCGCGAAAAATTTCAATTTTGAAAAATGGCTCGGACTATCAAGGAGCTTGGCAACCCTGGCACTATACCAACATTTCTCAAACTTTTTGCTTGCACAACCAAATATATTTGTAATGGTTCTGCAACTCAAATGTTTATAATATAAAATTAGTAAACTGGAGTCACTGTATATTATATAATAAAATAAAATTATGTATTATTGATAATAACTTCTGTGTGTGAAATATAATGTTGAATACATTTCTATTAACTGTTACAAATTGAAATGCCCTGAACAGCAGTTCAGGCCATTTTCATAAATTTTCAAATAATGCTTATACAATGAAAATGGCCTGAACAGCAGTTCAGGCCATTTTCATTTTGTGTTTTGGACCTCAAGGTCCCTCTTCTGCAGGTTTACAACAACACGATGATTAAAACAAAATTTATAAAAATTTATTTTGTTTACATCATGTTTTTGCAAACTTTTGCTTATACTTACAGGCAAACTTAATGTTAGTAATCTTATGGCTCCCATTGGATTACCATCTTATGAAGTTTTTGGGTGCTCTTTCACACATGTAATATATTTTCTGCTATTGCTTAATTTTATTATATTTTTAACTCAAAATAATGTTGAAATGTGTTTTTTTATACATCTTCGTTTGTACCATGAACTGTACAGTACATATTACTGATAAAATTTGGATTTAAATAATACTACCAACTTTTTGTGTAAATGTTATATATATATATATATACACATATATAATTAAGAACATTGATGCATAATCATATTCATTTTTGTTAATAATTGACATGTTTTTACATAACTTATTTGTAAATTTTCAAATAATGCTTATACAATGAAACTCTCTCATTTATGCATCTAACATTTATTGTCATTTTACATTGGTCCCAAGACACACCTATGCCTTTCAATAATGATAAGCATTTTTAATCTATTCTTTTGCACTAACAGCCCCAACAAGCTCTAACTAATGCATAATCATTAGTGATTATTGTTATCAGTCTTAACTAGCATTTTAAAAAAATATTTTAATTGCCATTTGCTTGTAGATTAAATTGCTAGCATTTCTTATTTCAATTATATGTTACTTATCATTAAAGACAATACTAAAAAATCAGCAGACAAGCAACACTTAAGAATTAATATTAATTCATCAAATCATAATAAAATAATTGTATAATTTGAAGATTTTATTTAATGTCAGTCAATGAAACCAGAATTTTCACTAACCGTAATCGTATCTACTTACTCTATTTAATGTCACTAGTCAGTGATCCTCAGTATCAGAAACCAAAAACAATCACAATAAGTGGATTCTACTGTATTCCATTTATATGTTTAAATTTATTACAGAATTATTTAAATATCATTTTCTTTCTAATAAAGATAACAGATATTGCAATATGCTTTCATAAAATGTACCCAGGAGTTTCTAAAACAGTCAATATTCTATTCTTGCACCTCTCTTCATGTTCCTAGAATTAAAATTAATTCCAGCAACTGTATTCCATCATAAAACAATCATAATATAGGTAATATCTACACATTTGTAGTAATTTGTAAAAGCAAGAGTTCATAAACAAAGAATTTTCTTTTAACAAAATAAATTTTGGAAACTATTCCAATGTATAATTCTTAATGATCATTTTCTATCACAGAACTAAATTTGACTAACACAGAATTTGAGTGCAAGATTTGCAAAAGATGACAATAAAAATATTGTCTATTGTACAAAATTAGTATGAAAAGATAAAACTTAAAACACTCATTAAAATCTTTAATAATTAGTTCTGCCATCTTGTGATGCATCTTAAGTCTTTTTGGTTTGGTCTCTTGGAAGGACTGAGTGCTCTATTGTATTTTACTGGATCTATTATTAAATTATTCAGGAAACCTTTAAAATACATCAAGAAATTTAACATTTAGCTTTTTGAAAGCATCTTCAAGGTTATATTAACCTAATAATAATCCAAATGCATATAAAATTTTAACTTAGATTTTTTCCATCCATTAGATACAATTTAAATATAATTTAATGAAAATAGTTATAAATTTAACTTTAATGAAAAACAAATATTAATGCTTTTAGATACTTTTCTTGTAAATGAGTTTTATACATTAGTATACATTTCTATGATACTGATAAAAATTCATTTTTGTTAGCATGAATACATTTACTTTGTTTACAAATTCAGAAAAATGTGCATATTTTGCAACATTTGGATTTTAAATGATTATTTTAGCCTTACTTCAATTGTGTTTATATGTTTTTAAATTTGCAGTTCTGCTAATGATGCCAAATGCTTAATGTTTCAATGTCTCTTAGATGTTTGTTAATATACTGTTTCAAAGTTTAAAAATACAGTAGGGCCCCATTAGTCTGAACATAGTTGTATGTTATTAATTTGCCTGATTAATTCATCAGATGATCATTTCTCAAAAGATCATTTCTTTGTCGTTTGAAACAAAGCAGGTGACTGGACTAGAACATAAGAGCATAGACAGAAGTAAGAAGTTGATTGGAATATGAAATAAGCCACAATGTTTCAAGGGAACTAAACATTTCCAGTGGACTACAGAACCAATAAAAACATCTGGATGACTTCTGTGCTATACATGGGTGAATAAAGAAACTGGACACAAAATTTATTGATGAAAAAAGTGACAAGTTCTCCAGTTTGTAGACAACTGCACAGCTCACTGTGGTGTGAATGTCCTGAAGTACATTCATGTCATATTCCTGACCAACACTACATCCAAGCTACAGCCAATGACCAGAGAACCATCCAAACACTAAAGACCCATTATTGGCATCTAGAGCACATGGTGTTCTGCACGGATTAGATTGTTGATTACAATGCCACACTTCTGTCAGCCATTAACTTCTTAGCATCATCATGGAATACCATACAGCTAAGAACTATTGAAAAATGTTTCTTCCTTGCTGGTTTTGTTTGGTCTTGTTCTTATGTAGGCAACATGTTGTAGAGAAAAAAGAATATGCCTGTGAAGACTTCCATGATTTTATAAAGTAGGATGTTGGTATCTGCTTTTTGAATTATGTAGCCATGGATGATGATATTAAAGTTTGTGGCCCTCTGACTTGTGACAATATCATCAACATGCTGCTTGCTACTTCCAGCAAAGACATTCGTGATTCTGATTTGGATGAAGTAGTAAATGTATCCTAAAAGTCCTAGCCTTCCAGCACACTGAACCATTATTGAATCCATTTAATGTTTATGAAACTTTCTTTTGCTGGAGAAGAAAATGGATGTGGAACTAAGTTGTCTGTCTACAATCAAAGATTTTGTGAAGAAATGTCAAATGCAACATCAGAAGCAGATAACAACCATCAATCAGTTTTTCCAGTGATTTTTTTTCTTTATTCCACTAAATGCACCACCTTTGTTTTGTATTTCTTATTGATTGAACATTATTTTGCTTGCCATGTAGTGTTGTAAACATTTTTTTTTGTTCTGTAGCATACAGAAATGGTCTCCTTTTAATTTGAACTGTTTAAGGCTATCCCTCAGAGCTCACATTATCAAGAATTTACTGTACAAATTTAGAAACCTATACAGAAAAGATTGTATGGGCTTTTAATATCCTTTGTTTTTATTTCTCTTCAACTTAGTATGATTATCATATCTAAGAAGTGTTTCTCTGGACAGCTTATTTGGATACTTCAGTCTGTAATCTAAGAATACTCAGGGTGTCATGCCAAGAAAAAGTAAATAACTGTGGAATTATTATAAAATCTAAAGAAAGAAAAAAGCCTTGATAAAGAGCCACGAAATAAATGTAGTTGTTTGAAAACAGCAGGAAGAAAATCATCAATATCAAATATGGATTGGAATACAAATAACTTTCTATGAGTCTTAATACAGCCCTTAGAAAATAACTAATATCACTCAACAAAGAACAAGTATTACAGTACTATATATAAATGAAGATGTTTGTTCGCTATGCATGCCTAGGCCGTTTGACCAATTGTTACAAAACTCAGCAGTTACGTTCAAATACTTCTAACTTAGATCATGTTGTACATCCCACCCCAAATTATCAATTGAATTTCTATATATTGATTAATTTCTGTCTACATTTGATTGCTGGCTTTTTATGTAGCTCCATCTATTGGAAAAGATTTAACAAAATAATTAACTAAATATAATTCTTACAAAAAAAATATAATTTTAGAAAATATATATTATATTCACCAAATAACTGCAACAATGATATAGCATGAAATAGATGCACCATTACTGCAAAAGGTAACATATAGCACTTGTCTGTGTGGAGTATTGTTTTACCCCTGGACATCATACTTTTCCTGTTAACAACAGTGTGCACCAGTTATATATCTAATTCCATTTGGGGGAAAATTTTTTAATTGTAATAACGTGACTTGCAGTACAAATTGGAAGTTCATATATAGTTAATCAGATCCTCTTTCTATTACAATTTCCATATGTTGTCTTGACTTTCATCTATCTAACTTTGTTCTTGAGATTGAGGAAGGACAATGACAGATGGACAACAGTGAGAATTTATAGGTCTACAATTTTTTCAAATTGCAACATAACAAGTACCATCTGGTAACAGAGTGGTTAAAACCACTGAACACCAGTAGTCGATCATGGGTTTGTGAATGCCGACATAATGGCATATGGAGTTTTCTGGGTTTTCTTTTCTGGCCTATATTTTCCATCAAAACAGAATGAATATAACCAAAATTTCATCTGAACTGGACAAAAATTGCAGAAGTTAAGGAATTCACACACATACATGCAGCTTTTCTATTATTAATACTATAATCTCATTAAGTTGAAACTATAAGTTCTTTTAAACTCAAACCTAATTTTTCATGAGCCTCCACCCTTTGATATGTTCTTGACCTTTATATTCACACAAGATAAAAGAAAATGGACTATTAAGGTAAATACTACAGCTTCAAGCCAAACACAGCACCATGCCATTACAAATTCATCATCGTTTTCCTGATTGACATCATTTTACTGATACAGTATATTACTGATATTCTAATTGGGACAAATGGGGACACCTTGAGAATTCACTCACAAGTGCCATAAACTGTATACAATTTTGTAATCATGAACAGATTCTTGAGAAATGGCCTAATACAAGGAAATTTACAGCCACAGAAAAATTTAAGAAATCAGGTATTAAATTCATTAACTCTAAACTCTAACTCAAATGTGATTTTTTTTTACCTCTTAAGTTTCAACTTGGATGTTTACTGTAGATATAAATTATTTCTAATTTTTAAAAATTTATAAAAAAGAACAATTAATAGGCATTAAATTATTTTGATATTCAAATTCATTAATGTATATTTAAAAATATCAATGACAAATAATGTATATAAATGAATGAATGAGTCATCAATACTAACATGTCTAAATTCTAACTTTCCCTTACTGTACATATCTGTTATGTAAGTACAAAGTAAACTGTGTTTATAACTAACTTACATATCATCCAAATTCTGAATAATTTAAATTCCATCCTTTAACATAATTATCAATCATCATCTTATATAACTTCAATTCTTACACCTTAAAATCAAATTTTATATAGATTATAGTTGTTTTAAGATGATAATTTACTACATATCAAATGAATAAATTCTTATAAGTAAGACTGAATAAAAATGTTCATATTTTGTGTAGCCTGTATATAAAATGATTAAAGGATACTCTGATAAAACTATTTATCTCCAACAGTTGGACAACTCAGCACTAGAATTTAACAAAATTGTTTCATAGACTTAATATTTTTGTCACAATTTCCATTAACAGAAATATCTTATTTTAATTTTGTCAAACAAAAAACAAGTTTACAAGGTTTTACACCATTGTCAATTCAACCAGAAAAATCTATATTCTATTGAAATCACAAGGGAGCAAAAATTTTATTTTTAAAAATTAAACTTCATTTGATAGCTGCTTAAGATTATTTATTTGAAATACAGGAGATAAATGGGAATTTGATCTAATTTATATAGAGAATTTCTCAACTTTGTTTTATCCAGACGTTCAAAGCATTTTTCTTAATTATGCAGAAGTCAAGTCTATAATATTCCTACTGATATCACCACAGATTTTTCTCATCCATGCATTTACTATATATTTGTATTTAATTTAAAATAAATTTAACAAGGTGCCAGATAAATGTTTAAAACCAATTTTTTTTCTTTTATTATTGCATGTATATATAAATACACACACCTTGACTTATAATGGATTTTGACATAATTCTGACAAAAATTAAGGAATCACTTCATCAGGAAGATATTTTTGCAGTTTTTTTAATCATATAGTTATTTGCTATATGATTAACCAAATAAACAAAACAAGCAATTAATAAATTAATACAAAATGCTTTTTAATAATAGTTGAACTTTGACTACTAAAAGTTATTAAACTTCATACCTAAATTTCTTCTTAAGTTAAGAATCTTAACAATTCATCAAATATCTAATGAGTGAATCTTAATTATGTGGAGGCCATCATTTTCAAAACAAACACAAATTAACATTTGGAAATATCCATCACTTTTTGTAATATGCAGGAGATGATTGCTAGAGCAAAAATGTCATTAAAACACCGATATGTCGCTGAGTACTGTCTTCTAAGCAAAAAATGTATGTTTGTAGTATTAGAAGTTAAACACAGTTTAATTTTGGCAGTCTTGCAATATACAGTTAAATTTAGCTGGTAATATAAAAATTAGCTAATTCTGTATCTTCGAAAGCTACTTTATTTTTAAAAAATATTCTGAGTACCATTCCAACATTCAAGAGTTCTGGAGTGGTGCTCCAGATAAGCTCAGGCACAAAAAAAAAAGTTAAATATTTGCCTCTGGTGTTGTGGTTTACCCATAAACAGAAAAAAGGATAAATAAAAATCACACAGTACATCATACCTTACATATTCTATACAGTTTCCATACAGATGTTTTTGTTGGTCTGAGGGTTGGACACACTACCAGTTCAAGTCTCAGCTTACATCTTACATTATGGTGTAATTAACATGCAGAAAATAACACCTTTCTTAATCATTCCAGCAACATTTATTCTGAATTACAATTTCCTACTTTATTTTACAATTCTGAATTAATCCATGTCAATTTACTTTAGAATGTAATTTTTTAAAATCAAATTCATAATACTTGTAGAATGTTTCTCCCTTTTTTGAATGTTTGATAAATGGAATGGTTTTTCTACTTGAAGAAAGCCTCTAAATGCAGCCAAAAACATTTGTAATTCAGAGTAAACATTGTTGGTGTAAGTAAGAAAGGTGTTATTTTGTGCATGTCAGTGTTAATTAATTAATTGAAAAGTTTCAGTTTATTAATTAACTTTATGATGTAATTATATTTCTACAATTGTCTCCAGCTAGTCTGCAATCTAACAGTTACTCTTCCATCAGCACCAATAACTGATTAAGTATTTTTCAACACTTCTTGTTACTTACACTTTACAATTGAAACATAATGGATGATCTTAATGATTTATCCAGTTTTGGACTGTTTATGTCAATCATAACATCTTGATTTATTTCTTTTTCCAATTAACACAAAAGCTAATATAGTCTGTTCTTTTAAACTTTGTATGGAAAATTTCAGAAAAGTTTTCAAACTTAATTCTCTTTTATTAATGTAAAAACTATTACATGGGTACCTGTGAATGCTTATCACATAAAAACTGACCACACACAAAATTATAAAAAATTGTATCTGATATTTTTCATTTTACCTATTCATTCAGGAAACATTTTGAATATACCTTACTCCTCATATATATGGTCTGTTTAAGTATATATGTGTGAGACTATATGAGTGTATGTTCATTCAAATAGATTTTTATATAAATAATACAAATACACACAGTATCTATTTACCTTCTGGAGATTCATCTTGCATGTAAGATCCAGTCAGATATCTATGAACCAATGCTGACTTTCCACTAGAAAGACTACCTACAATACCCTATAAATATATAATATAAAAATTAGAAAAATTTTTTAAACATAAAAGTTCAATATTTTTTTCATTCTGAATATTTCAAAACTAGTTTAAATTCATATTTGACAGCTTTGTTTTAAAGGAAAAAAATTATAAACATATAAAATTAAAAATGTCATTTCTGCTATCAATTGCCCTTTTTTAAATCCTGCATAAGTTTTAGAGATGGTGATAATTTCAAATTGACAACAAATTGATTAAAGAAGTGATGGCTTAGTTCCACATCCAGTGTAACCCTTGGTGTGTGTGCAAACAAGGCCTGCCAACAATTTTTTCTGCCATGTAATCCAGGGTTCACTTAGGAATAAATATACAACATCTCATATATATTTTTTTTCATGTTTCATAAAGAATTTATTAGTGTTAGGTTTCTAAAGAGTGAGAGAGAGAGAGAGTGAGTGAGTGAGAGAGAGAGTGAGTGAGTGTGTAGTGTATATATATATAGATTTTTTATTTAAAAAGTTCTCCCAATACTTAAGACAACAAATAACATGTTCCCAAAAATTTCAATTGGCATGAGAAAATTTTGCATCATAGATTTGACAATTTTAGTATGTATCATAAAAATGGTTGCCCATCCCTGGACAAAAGCATATACATTTGTAGAAAAAACTGATCATGTGTTTTGGACCAGTGAGGGAAGGAGTCAAGAATGAGATTTCCTATGTGTTTGCTTTTGTAGCATCAGTGGCGGATTTCTGCACAGGTGCACGAGGCACACACCTGGGGCCTCGTAAAGCAAGGGGACCTCAAAATTCAGCTTGCAAAATAAAAAAATTATTTTAATTAATAATTATTTTTTTCATAATAAAAATAATTAATAATTTAGCAGTATTTCCTAAACTAAATTAGCCTTAATTATTTACCAAACAATAGTGAAATCTATTATTATAATTTACAAATAAATTTTTATTATTTGTAGATTACTAGATTTTTGAAATACAAAATCAGTAGTAAATTTAAAAATAAATTATTTTTTATATGGATTATTAGATTTTTTGTTTTTAACACTTTTACCTATTGAAACTTAATAATTCTTGTACCAGTAAGTTTCAATTTTCATAATTAACACAATTTGAACATCAGAAACATTTTGAATATAGCCAGGCAGTTGTAATTTTATATTGGTTAATTTTAAATGTTATTTCCTTATGTCTCACTTTTTTGAACCACCAGTATAATGCCTACCAGAGTAAAAAATACACATTGTAAGGTGTAGGGGTAGTGAAAATATTTAGAGGGGCCTCAAAATTAAATTGTGCCTGAGGCCTCTCAAGTTCTAAATCTGCCACTGTGTATCATTATCAATTCATGTCACAAGAGACTATAGGTATATACAATAGAGTGATGGGAGCATGTCCATTGACCATGTGTATGAGGGAGGACCCAAAAAAAAACTGAACTGAGAGCATGCTGCCATTCGTAGATGTAGTAGAGAGTTTTCCCGTTATATGGGGTTAGTAGAGACCTTCACGAAACAACTGTGCAAACGGCATCAGTTTGTAGGTTTACATTTGAGCGCAGTGTTGTGTTTCTCTTACTGTTATTTTGTTCCACCTGCAAACATCTGGGAGTCCTTCAACATCTCAAAACAATGAAAACGTTGAAAAAATCCGCCAAAGTATTAAGACATCTGCAAGAGGATGTGCAAAGGAAACGCCCGGAACTTTGGAGATCAGGTGACTGGTTCCTTCATCATGACAATGCCCCCACACATACGGCCTTATGAGTGACTCACTATTTGGCCTCTCGGGAATGGCCTGTCGTTCCCCACCCTCCGTATTCACCAGACCTAGCCCCATGTGACTGTTTCCAAGAATGAAGAAAAATCTAAAAGGGAAGCATTTTGATGATGTGGAGGCAATAAAAACAGCTTCGCTAAGGGCACTGGACGATAAAGGTTGAAGAGTTCCAGAGATGCTTCAAACAGTGGGAAAAAAGACTTCACAAGTGCATCGCATCTAATGGAGAGTACTTTGAAGGTGACTATTTATTAACATTTTTACAAAATTTCTTCAAAGTTTTTATACAAAAAATCCAGTTATTTTTGGGTCCCCCCACATATATTGACTTTCACTTGTACTAGATGTGAAAGACCCAATACCATGCCTTTTCATTTCACAATATCAAATTAAAGTTACATGCTTTCCTCTGCTTTAAAATGTCCACCATAACACTCATGCTGTTTCTCATCACAGATGAATGACAGGCAATTAAGGTATCAGCCTACCACTCTAGAAATCCAGAATTGAACCTAGGCAATTAAAAACTCTCAGCAATTTTTCAGGGCTACTTTTCATAAGTCAGGCCCTGATGAGGGCAGGGCCTGACATAAGACAGAGTAGCCACTCCCATAATGGGTTTGATTATTCTTAGCACCTACAGGGCAGGGGAGAAATGCCTCTTATGGGAATACTTGGTATTATTACAAAATAAAGTTGGTCCTATTTATTATATCCAGAAGAAAACAGCTCTTCCCATGTATGATACAAATAACTTGCTAATTTGATAAATTACAATAGCAAAGAAGAAACAACAAAGGCATAAATACTAGTTTTCATTATTGGTCCAAAAATATAGAATTTAATGATTAGCATTTTTTGGATGCTGTACTTGCATTAAATGACCACACCAAGAAAGAAACCTTAAAATGCAATGATACATGTATCATTGCATTTTAAGGTTTCTTTCCCAATGTAATTAGCATTTTCTTGATTTTTATTCCTCCTGGGAAATTCCAAACATTCCTTATAAGCAACTAAATATACTGTATTTACTTGCATATAGGACAAAATGTGACTTTAAAGATCAAAATAAAGAAAATTAGATTTGTTAATACAATTCTAATTTTATTTTGTTTAATCACAAGTAAAATATCAAATGAATGCACACATTGTCTCACAAAAATTACTGGCATTTTAAACTTTAAGGAAAAATCCTGTAAAATTGACAACATAATTTGTTCATGTAAAGCTGGACAATTGGGAACCTTTTTTTTGTCAATTCTTAACGATTGAATCCAATCTTTGTCAATTACACTTATGAGTTTCTCCAAATTCTGATTTCCAAATAATCATCTGTTTTCAGTTGGGAATGGATTAAAACTTATATCAGGCTCCCGTGTGATTTTGGAATTTCAAATTGGAATTCAATTCAAAAGCTTTGCTTTTCCTATTGCTATTCATCTTTACTCCTGACAATATACAAGAATGATTCAAACAACCCAGATAAAATACTAGTGTTTTTAAATACACGAGGGTAAGCATCCAGTAAAAAATGCAAAGACAAGTTCACAAAAATTATTTGCAAAAATGCAAAGAATCTTTTGCTCACATATATATAGGATGACCTAGGAATTTGAAGCTGTGATGAATGAATAAAAACCTAGTCTTATATGTGAGTAAATACAGTATTTCATAACATTTGATTAATATAATTGCTCTCATTCAAATGTATGTTTATTAGTTGTTTATGATCATTGTGCACCTATATTTAGACAATTTTTATATTGATATATAATTAAAACATGTTTTTCATGAATTTAATTTTAATATGTTTAATTAGTATTCATTCTTCACAACATTAATTTTTATTGCTAATTTTACATTATCAATTAATCCATTTTTAATTAATCCAATTTTAGTTAATCCCAGTCATTTGTACAGTTTATCAAATCTGAATATTTTATGGTTTTGGAAGGTTTTTTGAAATTAATTAAATCTAAAATTGAACTTTTGACTTTAACACACATTATTATTAACAATCACTACAAATATAAACATCCAATAACCCAATTTTTTAGTTTAACACCAAACAGCAGCCAGATTACATCAAGCTATAATAATGCTACTAATTATATACTATGTATCCACATAGCAATTGGGAATTGTAGGTTCAAGTCAAACTTTGGACTGATTCTTTTCTTCCAGAACCTTCTAAATTATTAAATTTATCAAGAGATGGCACCTATTGCCTATCCCTAGACAAAATTATTTTACTTTTAATAAATAATTGGTAGCATTATTACAGCCCAATGTAATCTGTTAATCATTTGGCATTAAATTAACAATCACTTTCTTTATCTGTTATTTTCCATTAAGAAGTAATACTGAAATCAAAGCAGACTATAGTGATAGAGATGTACTAGCTTCCTGTGTATTTAAAGCTACATTATACAAATGCGACTATAGACTTCGGACTATATATATTTTATATCCACTATTAATTTCATGTTAACTCAGTTACGTAAGAACAATGTTTGCATAATAAAAATTCATAAAGAATTAAATTCAGAAAATAAATAAATAAACCAAACAAATTATTAAAAATACACAACTGAAATAATTTTCAAAAAAATAAACATTACAGATTTTAACATTCAATATACCTTCTTTACAGTCAATTATTTGTAATAAATTACATTAATTGCATTCAAATACATTGTACAATGAATTTCTGTTAACTGGACTGATGCATTGCTGGATTTTCAAATATGCTACTTTATCAGATGATGGGAATTTTTCCAGTTTTTTCAATCCTGTGAACACAATTTTACATATCTTCACTTGTAAAATCATACAAATCTGCCTTTTTATGATTGTTTAACAACCCATTTCAATTTTTCCAGGCTATTCCTACCCTTGGATGGCTTAAAACAATACTATTCTTACTTTGCACTTTGTATACTTTTATTTAGAATAAAAACAGACACACTAATTATCGAAGTACATGAACAGTAATGTATTATAGCTGTTTGTAATAATTATTGATTCTAAGTGTGTTAAACATTTCTTCTCTTATCAAACACATACACTAATGTCTTGGAAAAGTCTTTACAAAAATCAAGCATAAGATAACTGATTTTACCTAGCACATCATGTCATCTTGGTCTTTCTGTTTTCACAATGTTTATAATCAAAAGTTGATGACAATGGTAAAAAAGAACACTTAGCTTTCTGATGAAC